CAGAACTGGCCGTCTCCGCAGCCCTGCGTGCCAGGCACATGTCCTTTCTGGATCTGGTGGCTGTGCGGCGCGTCGGGGAGGTTGTCCTGGACCCTTCTCAAGCCCCCCGGAGGCATTTTCTCTGGCATTTGAGCCCCAGCTTTCCCCGGAGCAGCCCCCTTAGGGAGGGCAGCTGGGCACCTGCTCACTGCTCTGCCTGGCCACCAGCCACAGCTCCGACACTTACCCGGGGCGAACTCTCGCATGGTCTGAGTCATTTCAGTTAAAGGTGGAGTCAAAGCAGCACACGGCAAGAACTCGTTTGCTTTTGTTTAAAAGATCTATATATACATATTTGTTGTTTTGTAAAGTCAGATTTTCAGGAAGATCTTCCATCTGCTGGTTCACCCCCTAGCTAGCCACAGTGCTGGAGCTGAGCTGATCCAAAGCTAGGAGCTTCTTCCGGTTCTGCCACGCAGGTGCAGGATCCCCAGGCTTTGGGCTGTCCTTTTCCCATGCCACCAGCAGGGAGCGGGATGAGAAATAGAGCTGCTAGGATATAAACCAGTGTCCATAAGGGATCCTTGCGCATGCAAGGAGAGGATTCAGCCGCTAGGCTACTGTGCTGGGCCCTTGGGTTTTGTTTTGTTTTGTTTTGAGAGGCTGCTTCTGCCCTCTGGTTAAGTACTCCAGGGCCTACGAGGGCAGCCTTGGGCTCTGGGGTTTTGAGCCAGGTCCCGCATGGTTGTGGTGGGGACCCAACCAAGTGAGCTGTGGGCCACTGCCCCCATTGTCTACATTGAAAGCTGGGATCAGGAGGCAGGGCTGGGCACAAACATGGCACTCGCTCATGTGGAGTGTGGGCATCCTAGCTGCTAAGCCATGTGCCTGTGCCCAGCTCATCTGTGGGGTATGTGTGTTCCTTGAATCAGCAAACCTATAAAATAGTTCACTGGCGATCACTCCCATGGTGCCTTGGGCTTCTCAAGGAGTGCTGGGTCTCAGCATGCATCCTGGGGGAGCCGGGTATGGTGGGCACCCTGGGCATGCTCCCTGCTTCTCACTGCTTCTCAACACCCGAGTGGCCTGCACACCAAGACTGGCTTGGGACAGTAGAAGCCCCCGTATCAGGACCATGGCAGGCACTGTTCGCTGCTAGGCAGCACTCTAGCACGCAGGGGAGCCCTCTTCAGCCCACACCGCGTCGTGTCCCCCCCATCCTGAAGCACGAGGGAGCAGGTGTCCTTGCCATGAGCCCGTTCGTGTCTGGATGTCGCCCGGTGGCTGAGGGTGGTGACAGATGCCCCTTCGTTATAAAGGACAGGGAAGCTACTAAGCCACACCGGTTGTTCTGCTAGAATGCGTGTCTGAAAGGAAAAGTAGGAACATTGCATGGCGTTTCTGCAGAAGCGGCCACTTCCGCCCCTTCACACTGCCTGCTTCCCGATCCCCCAGCCCTCCCACCAGGCTGCGTCTCACACTTCAGCCTGCAGGTGTGCCCGCTCCCTCCCCGACACAGCCCTCCCCTGGAGGAGGGTGCCGTCCCCAGAGCACGTCCTGTCGGCGCCCCGTGGGCCCTGTGATGCATCTGCCTCACCACAGGGCTCAGGCGTGACTCCGCGTGACTCAGCGCCTCCCCCGTCCCCTGACTGTGCAGCAGGATGCTGTGCCCATGTATTACCGACAGAACCAGGGCCAGGACCTGGGGACCGGGGGTGGGGGTCCACGCTCCTGCTCCTCTCAGCTCGAACTGCACCCCCATCTCACCCTCTTCTCAGCTGCTGTGTCGCTAAGCCCCGACTGCGTTGGCATGGTCAGCAGAGCACACGGTGTCGGCGTCTTGCAGATAAACATTTGGTTTGCACTCCAGGCCAGGTGCGCTGCCGTCGTAGGCAGGTGGTTAACAGCGCATGCGTCTGCAGTCTTGCGCCTGGGAACCTGTGCGAGGGGAGGGGCTGCACTGGCCCGCGGCACTGCGCTGACCCCTCGTCATGAAAGAGCTCTGGAAATGGAGATCAGATTTACATGGTTGAGGGCGTTAAAGGGTGACCCTGTTAGGGTCCGGGTTTGAGCCCTCCAGAAACAACAGAGTCTTGCTGGTAATGCAAAAGCAAGCAGAGTTCATTGTGCCAGCATGCTGGGCTCAGACTGGTCTTGGGGCTCACAGGCTTTGAGCCAAGGAGGGGTTGGACCTCGAACTAGCAAAAGGCTGGAGCTTATATAGGCCCCTTTTGGCTGTAACATACATCAAAGTCAAAAGTATCAACTTCAGATTTTTTTATCCCAGGTGCAAGCAGTCTGCTCCGTTCCCCCACTCATTACCTTTTCCGGCTCATCCCATTCGCACACCCTTGTCTTTATGGCCCCTCCGGTTTGGGACTGGAGCATTGCGCCCCTGCCCTCCTGCACCTGGGTTCGTCCTATAGCCAGGGCCCGCAGCCTGACGCATCCTGACTTAGCAAAACAGCAGCTTCTTACACCAAGAGGCTTTACACTGCCTCCCTCCGAGCCCTGCAGCGGGTGGAGAGACACTTCCTGGCTCGCCGCTGCCTCCCTGCCCCCCACATGTAGCTCCGCTTCTTGCTGAAGGTGGCCTAGAAAACAAAGCCATGGATTCTGAAGTGAGAAGCCTCGTGCGGGCTCTGGAGCGGGGGGTCAGCGTGCTGGGGCCCCGATGCATCGGGCTGTGTCCCAGGGAGGCCCTGCCCTGTCCAACCTCCTCTCCTGGTGTCAGAGGTGGAGCTGTGCCCACCCAGCTCCTGACCCACAGGGGTCGGCTTTACCGACGGCTGTCCACTGTGGCCACGTAGTGAGCGTGGCAGCCAGGACGAGGCGTACACCCGTGTAGTTGACCCCCTGACTCGGGGAAGCGCCTACACGACCCTCCCCAGGAGCCTGGGGGCTTGGCTGGACCCTGAGTCCACCTCCGTCTGCCACTCTCCCCCTCTGATGGCTCACCGCTGTCGTCCCCAGGCCAGACGTGAGCAGAGCTTCTCAGTGAAACGGGCTCTGCCCTTCGCGTCCCACGAGGCTGTGCAGCCCCGGCGGAGCGGTGTGCACACGTCATCTCTCATGCCAGCCACAACGCTGGGGGTGCTTGGGAACCTCATTATTTCTGAAAGTGACAGCAGAGTCTTTTGTGGGCTCAGATATTGTCACATGCACGCGCCACGTGTAACAAGGAAGGAGTCAAATCTACAGACCGGGTCGTTGTGTGTGATGGAGTTGGGTGGCAGCGGGGTACAGACTGGGTTATTCTGTGTGGTGGAGTTGGGTGGCAGCGGGGTACAGACTGGGTTATTCTGTGTGGTGGAGTTGGGTGGCTGTGGGGTAAAGCTGTAGAACAGTTCTGTGGTTTTGTTGTTTTGTTTTTTAATGTTTACTTATTTGAAAGGTAGGCAGGAGAGAGAGAGAGGAGGTGGAGAGAGAGCTTGCTCTCCCGTCCTCTGGTTCTCTTCCCTCGGACCTTTATGTGCCCGGCTGGACCAAGAGCCAGGAACTCTGCCCGAGTGCCCCACGTGGCTGCAGGGACCAAGGCAGTGGGGCCATGCGCATTCCCAGGCACGTTAGCAGAGAGCTGGGACTTGTACCTTGGCTTCAGTTTGGGACGCAGCTTACCCACTGGGCCACAGGGTGACCGTGTGCTGTGTTGGGCTGCCTTCCAGCATTCGGTGGTGCTGCGTGAAAAGGGAAGCCGCGTGGGCCTCCTCGTGCCGTCGGGGACCCCAGCCCACACCTGCCCAGTCCGCACCTCGGGAGGCACACACCGGTGGTGCCGTCCTGCTGTCAACAAAGATCAAGTTTTGAATTTAGAAAAAAGACAAAAATCTTTTCCTGATTACGAATCAACGCCCGGTTGTTGTAGAACGTTCAGGAAATCGGAGAAAACAGACAGCAAAATAAATCATCCTGCTGTGTGTCCTGCGATGGAGGCCGCTGCTTCTGTGGCTCTTTCGGTGTGAACACGACCCAGGGCCACCACACTCACCCTCGCTCGTGCCTGCACTCACACTCACCCTCGCTCGTGCCTGCACTCACACTCACCCTCGCTCGTGCCTGCACTCACACTCACCCCCGCTCGTGCCTGCACTCACACTCACCCCCGCTCGTGCCTGCACTCACACTCACCCTCGCTCGTGCCTGCACTCACACTCACCCTCGCTCGTGCCTGCACTCACACTCACCCTCGCTCGTGCCTGCACTCACACTCACCCTCACTCGTGCCTGCACTCACACTCACCCTCGCTCATGCCTGCACTCACACTCGCTCATGCCTGCACTCACACTCACCCTCGCTCGTGCCTGCACTCACACTCACCCTCACTCGTGCCTGCACTCACACTCACCCTCGCTCGTGCCTGCACTCACACTCACCCTCACTCGTGCCTGCACTCACACTCACCCTCACTCGTGCCTGCACTCACACTCACCCTCGCTCGTGCCTGCACTCACACTCACCCTCGCTCGTGCCTGCACTCACCCTCACTCGTGCCTGCACTCACACTCACCCTCGCTCGTGCCTGCACTCACACTCACCCTCGCTCGTGCCTGCACTCACACTCACCCCCGCTCGTGCCTGCACTCACACTCACCCCCGCTCGTGCCTGCACTCACACTCACCCCCGCTCGTGCCTGCACTCACACTCACCCTCGCTCGTGCCTGCACTCACACTCACCCTCGCTCGTGCCTGCACTCACACTCACACTCGCTTGTGCCTGCACTCGCACTCACACTTGCTCATGCCTGCACTCACACTCGCTTGCAGTCATGTTCACACGTATCACGTGGTCTGCTTGTTTGTTGATGTCTCTTCACGCTCCCTGCTCTTCTTTGCAGCACCAGGTCATCACGTCTGTAAAGTCCATGAATGACCCTCAAGAACATTGGTCGTGTCATTGTCATCTTGGGGTGAGGGGGGACCGTAGCTGAGGAGAACTTGGAAGATAAGGGCTGACGGGCCCAGCGTGGTACCCTCCGCAGGAAAGCGCCGCCAGCTGACTGTCTGCCCTGTGCCCTGCAGGTGGCTGCCATCAACCCCAACCACCCACTGGCGCAGATGCCTTTGCCCCCATCCATGAAGAACTGCATCCAGCTGGCCGCCTGCGAGGCCCACGAGCTCCTGCCCATGCTGCCTGACCTGCCGGCCGACCTCTTCACGTCCTGCCTCACCACCCCCATCAAGATCGCGCTGCGCTGGTGAGTGCCCCGTGGGCTCGCTGCGTGTCCTCGGATCCTGGGCCACAGGGGCCAGGAAACGCCCTTGCTTCCTCAACCTAGCTTGTGGGCTGGGGAGCCCGGGGCTCCTGGCCACCCCCCAGGCTGGCTCCAGGCTGGCTCCAGGCTGGCTCCGTGCAGAGTGGCTGCTCTCAGACGCGCGTCGGCTCAGCACGGAGCATCAGCAGTGCCCTGGTGGTGGCTGCGGAGCAACTCTCATCCGGGGAAGGCTATTTTGGAAGAAGTAACGTCCGCCCCTGCTTGGAATTGAAGTGTGATCTTTCCATTTCTCCCTAGCAGTTTTAAAAAGTAGCATTTCCTTTCCTGTCGCCACTTCTCTGCCATTTGTGGAGTAGCTGAGGGAATGAGTGTGCTGCTCAGGCAGACGGCTTTCCCTCAGGACCCTGACCCCAGCAGCCCCAGGCCACGTCCTCCCTTGCTGCTGCTCCCCGCTGTGTGCTCTGCTGCGAGGCCTGCCTACCGAGTGCCAGGCTGCGTCCTCCAGGACAGGGGCCTGACGCCCTGGCGGGGGCATGCAGGGGCCCTGCAGCCCAGCTGAGGCCTGCCTACCGAGTGCCAGGCTGCGTCCAGCATTGTCTCTGATTCCTGATTGGAGGAAAAGGGTTCCCTCTAATGTTCTTACTGCTAGAGGCAGGGGAGGACAGAGCTGCCTGGAGGGGACACAAAGGGGTGACCCCACTTGCACCCCACGTGCACAGTGCAACCATGGCGACCCAGTGACACTCCCAGGGGGACACAGTGGGGTGACCCCATGTGCACCGTGGCTGACCCAGCCGGACCTGGCCAAGGGGGGCCGGGCACTTGGAGGTGGCAGATTAGCAGTAGAACTTCATGCCACCCCTGAATTACACATTTTTTGGATCAAAACTTTTAAAATATGTATACAAGGCATCTTCAAAAAGTCATAAAAAGAATTTGACTTTCAAAACTTATTATATCCAAATGGATGTGGCTTTTCAGTGTTTTCTACTGCGTGCAGTGGGATGTTAAAGGCGGTCTCTCGCGACCCTTGGCGATTCCTAGAGCCGCCTCACCGCGGCGGTGCTCCAGTGTCCTCCCCTCCCTCCTCACCGCGGCGGCGGTGCTCCGTGCTCCATCAGTGTCCTCCCCTCCCTCCTCACCATGGCAGTGCTCCGTGCTCCATCAGTGCCCCCTCCCTCCTCACCATGGCGGTGCTCCGTGCTCCATCAGTGCCTCCTCCCTCCTCACCATGGCGGTGCTCCATGCTGCATCAGTGCCCCCTCCCTCCTCACCACGGCGGTGCTCCGTGCTCCATCAGTGCCTCCTCCCTCCTCACCACGGCGGTGCTCCGTGCTCCATCAGTGTCCTCCCCTCCCTCCTCACCACGGCGGTGCTCCATGCTGCATCAGTGCCCCCTCCCTCCTCACCATGGCGGTGCTCCATCAGTGCCCCCTCCCTCCTCACCATGGCGGTGCTCCGTGCTCCATCAGTGTCCTCCCCTCCCTCCTCACACATCCCCTCCCCTGGCTTTGAAGGACAGCGTTGTGGAGTGTGGTGTGCACTGTGGAGTGTGGTGTGCGCTGTGGAGTGTGGTGTGCTCTGTGGAGTGGTGTGTGCTGTGGAGTGGTGTGTGCTGTGGAGTGTGGTGTGCTCTGTGGAGTGGTGTGGTCTGTGGAGTGTGGTGTGCGCTGTGGAGTGTGGTGTGCGTTGTGGAGTGTGGTGTGCTCTGTGGAGTGGTGTGGTCTGTGGAGTGTGGTATGCGCTGTGGAGTGTGGTGTGCTCTGTGGAGTGGTGTGTGCTGTGGAATGTGGTGTGCGCTGTGGAGTGTGGTGTGCTCTGTGGAGTGGTGTGTGCTGTGGAGTGTGGTGTGCACTGTGGAGTGGTGTGCACTGTGGAGTGGTGTGCGCTGTGGAGTGTGGTGTGTGCTGTACAGTGGTGTGCTCTGTGGAGTGGTGTGTGCTTTGGGGCGTGGTGTGCGCTCGAGTGCGACTTGCTACCATGTGGGTGTGTGTTGGCTGGGCACCGTCTGACTGGACAGCCCGGGCCAGTGTTTCCTCCAGTTCTTGATGCCGGAGCTTCCGAGGGGGGGGGTGATCCCTGCTCTCTGACCACCCTCCTCCCGATGTGTATCAGCGTAGTGTTGTAGTCCAAAATGTATTTTTCCTTCTGCTGTTTTCTGCTTTGATTGAGTGGCATAATTCCATTTTGAATTTATTGTGGGTATATTGTGTGCTGCTGCAAATTATAACCCAGTGGCATACAATTTGCTGTGGGCCCGGGTGTACAGCAGATGGATGTCTGATGCATTGTGCAGCATGCCAGCCGTATTGGCTATTAATGAAAATGGTGGACATTATTTTAGATTGAATAGAGGTCAAGAAGCTCATTTCCTTCCTTTCAATTAAATTGAAGAATGTGTCGGAGCTGAAATGTTAATGATACAGCGCGAGTATTCCGGCGTCGGCCCGAGGCCTCGTGTTTGCACAGGAAGCGCCGGCACGCTTGGCTCTCCCGGCCAGGTGCACGCGGCCGCTCCGCCTCCTCTGGCCAGGCTCCTGGCTTGTCTCAGGTATTTGCTGTGGCTTTCGCTTCATCTCAGCCCGGCGTGACCAGAGTCCCCTCTGCAGGAGCAGGGTCTTGCAGCTTTGGTGGCAGTTAGCTGTCCTACAGCATCTTCTGAAGCAGCGAGCCCGGAGAAGGCGTGCCGCCTGCACATCCGGCGCTCGTGGGTGGCAGTCTGTCTTCGCACAGAGTGTGGCATGCTGACCTTTGTCGCAGGGAGGTGTCATCTAGAATTTGTGTACCAGGAGAGTGGTGTGTTCCCGGGGCAGCCTCACAGTGTGCCCAGCCCAGCCGTCCTGCACAGCCCTGAGGCCCTCGGGTGGCTCTGCCCTGGGCCTGGGCCAAGGAGGATGCGTTTTCTTCCCAAGGCCGGCAGCTTGCTCGACCTACTCCATCTTGACATTGCCTCAGTTCAGACAGACACCTGCGTGTTGGAATCAAGCCGCTGTGTAAGCAGTGGGTACCAACAGTCTCCTTGGGCCAGCACAGGCCTCTGGCTCCCCAGCTGGACCAGGCGTTGGGTGGCACAGGAGAAGGTGGCTGCCAGACCCCATGTGAGGCCAGGTTGGGGACAGAGGCAGGAGTGGGATCGTGGCTTGGGGAAGGAGCCCACTCAGAGGCCGGGGCAGGCGGAGCAGGGTCTCTGGCTTGTGCACCTGGGCCTTCTGTCAGCCCTGCCACAGCCCAGCCGTGTGTGCAGCTCCAAGGGAAGGTAGGACAACGCCCCCACCTCCTTGAGAAGGACAGTGACGTAGTAACGGCTGTGTGCTCGGGAGGAGAAAGGAGAGGCGCTACAGACGCTGAGTGTGATGGGAGCGGTCCAGGGCGCGACTGGGCGAGGGAGCTGGGCGCAGTCCCCGCAGTTTGCAGGGAAACACAGGAGCGGTGGCGCTCCCCAGTGGGCAGTCGCAAATGTGCTGTGCACTTCATATGGGAAGGGGAGATTGTTTCCTCAGCAGAGGAAGTTAGAAAGGGGGAAAGGCACGCTAGCCCAGGGGCCAGTGCCACGAGCTCCGGTCACATCATCCACGTGGAACAGGGTCCCCGGAGACCTCACCATTGCTTCCCACATTGTGCATCCACAGGACGCTGGGGTCCAAAGCCAGAGCCAGGCTAGACCCCACGCACGCCCACAGGGTCCAGTGGAGCCTAAGCAGTAGGCCAGGCGCCTCTTCAGATCATATATTAAGCTGAATGTGCAAAATGCCATCACTTGGCGAAAGGGAGAAAGCCGTGAACTGAGGGAGCAGTTGGCAAGTGAAGCGTGTGAGAGGAACAGGGAGAGAAGGGCAGGTGGGCCAGGGCTGGGCCTCAGCTGGGGTAAGCTGCTGAGTCCTGGTGGCTTCGCCTCTGACCCGGCGTCCTGCGAGTGTGGCAGCAGTGGTGCAAGGCCTGAGCCACTGGCTCCTGGCTCCCGGCTGCTGCCAGCACTGAGCTGTAGACCCGCCAACAGATGGAAGAGGTCTGTCTCCATCTCTGCCAGGAATCAGCAAACGCCTCCTGTCCCTGCTCCCACCAACAGCTCCACGTGGTGCGTGGCGTGGAGAGAGGCAGAACGTGTGTGCAGGCGGGCGAGCCCCGAGTGCAGCTGGACTGAGGACCGAGACCTCACGGGACACGGAACCCACGGGGGTGTCACTCATGTGGGACATTCAGGAAAACCCACCACGTGTTCCCGTAATCCAGGGAGTCCCCGGCGTTATAGAGCCGTTCTCACACACCACACTCCGTGGCCCTGAGGACTGCAAGGACTCAGCACGCCTCAGCTCCGGCAAGTCGGCTCTAATGCGTTTAGTCAGAAAACATGAGAATGTGCAGGCAGAAGTCAGCTCTCACTGAAGGAGCTGGGAAAATGGTTTCAGCCCGAGCAGTGAGACCAGGGGCACAGAGGGACGGGGACAGGGACTGACAGGGAGGGGAGAGGGCAGGTGGGCAGCCCGCAGCCCCGCGTGCCTCGGTGGGTGGGTGGGCAGCCCGCAGCCCCGCGTGCCTCGGTGGGTGGGTGGGCAGCCCGCAGCCCCGCGTGCCTCGGTGGGTGGGTGGGTGGGCAGCCCACAGCCCCGCGTGCCTCGGTGGGTGGGTGGGTGGGCAGCCCGCAGCCCCGCGTGCCTCGGGTGGCTCCCAGAACCCAGAGCTTATCTGCTGTCATTTCTCCCTCGTGTTCTTTGTCCTCATCTGAGAGACACACACCATGACCCTCGCGTGGGTCACACACACCATGACCCTTGCGTGGGTCACTCCTTAAACAGAAATGAGCAGGAAAGTGCTGGAACATCATGAGCTAGGAACTCAGCCCTCGCCTGTGATGTGGGAGTCGGGTTTAGTGTGTGAACCCACACACGCCCCCCGATTAACAGGGTAGAAGGCAATCAGTGCTGTGAAACTGCCAGGCCGGATGCCCGCTCTCTCCTCTTTCTCGCCAGTTCCAGCAGAGTTCC